GGTCACTCAAATTCATCGGACCCGATGGATTAGCTCACTCAAATTCATCGGACCCGATGGATTAGGTCACTCAAATTCATCGGACCCGATGGATTTGGATGGATGATCTTTTCTACACGGAGCTGATGCATATCAACAGCCATCTAATTTCGATAAGTATTCAAACAGTCGAAGTCACTAAACTCGAATTGCTCATTCGTGGCGAGGCGAATCGGCCAGGTTTGAATTGTTTTCACCCATACGGTCATCGTTCTGTGGACCGGTCAGCATCTATAGTTGCCAAACGTATATCTTGACGTGCCGTTTGTCGAGAAATATACGTGTATAGCGACGATAAAGATGGTGCTACATGTACGACGCATCTAGTGTACTAGTACGTCCCAAGCACATGAACGATGGCCCCAATTCCAACCCGACTCTCTTAGTGTGCATCCTAGGCAAGCACTTTAAGAATGCGAAGAACGCAACTCCACACGTTCGTTCGCAACTCGAAGACCTCGACTCTTCGTTGGTTTTTGGTTGTTGGATCCCTACTCCGATGGATCCGAGTGGCTTTCACAAGCCCTCATAGCGATTTTCACTCACGAGGATGGTTCTTTTTCCTTTCTTCAGTGGGAGGTTTTTACCACTCGACCTCACTATACCAGTCTCCGTAATATCAATATATTCCGGAGCAGGTCGTGAGCAGCTTTCGTGGCCTCACTTCCACTTCCTGCCTCTCGGACACACTCCTCATCGGGTGTGCGGTTCTGGTTCTTCCTCTTCTTCCTCTTTCTCTCTGCCGAGTGCTTCACTAGCCCAGCTGCTAGTTTGTTAAAGACAAGCTATTTCATCGAACTCGATGGTTAATATGACAGTCCTGATTCGTCAGGTTAGATGAATAATAGCAAGTTGTTCCATCGTGCCCGACCATAAAAAGTTCTAATCTCTAATTCGTCGGGTCCGATGAATTTGAGTGAGCTAATCCATCGGGTCCGATGAATTTGAGTGACCTAATCCGTCGGGTCCGATGAATTTGAGTGACCAAATCGATCGGGTCCGATGAATTTGAGTGACCAAATCG